TAGGCATGTAAATATTTATATAGTCATTCTTAAACAATATTCAAAGGTAAAACTAATGAAAAATACATAAAAATATTGAGAAAGTTATATAAAACATTATTTAAATATCTTTATCAATAGGGTAGGTTGGGTTAGGTTAGGTTATCTGGTTTTGTTCAAGTTCTCTTTCGATCCCCCACCTCCACCCGCTTGAAAATAATTATTTTATTGAATTTTATTTGAATTATAGTGTATGAAAATTGTCAAAATAATCAACTTTCAACCCCCATAACTTTTTATGGGGGTGAGACCGCCGCAAATTTTTTATGGGGTTTTACTCAGGTGACCACCTTCTTTAGATCCCCCTACTCTCTTTCGATCCCCCTACCCCCAACCCCATCTAACCCCCATAACTTTTTATGGAGGTGAGACCGCCAGGAACTTTTTATGGTACAGTTGTGGGGAAGACCTCCTCATTCGATCCCACCCACCATCTAGACATTTACCAAATTATATAACGTGCGTGTGTTAATGATCTGAAAGATTATATAATTTGCAACCTGTTGAACCATCTTTTTAATGTATTCGCTTGTGAAATTATGTAAATCAGCAATGCATACCTCTCATATTTATAAACTTGACATGACAAGGTCATTGGGTGAATTTGCCCCACTTGGACCATGCTTTTTTATGCGTATCTGTTTAACTAAATTCACGTTGAGTCACACACTTGCATGTGACCCCCAAGAGAGATCAAGTTCAAACGAAACGCTTTCACTTTCTCGTTTGTTTTAAGGTTAATGGCATTGTAGGCAAATGCAAAACTAATTCGGAATACAGTTCAAGTTCTGTAACTCGAACTTCTGTAACTGTAAATCGTTTCTAAATCGATTATATTTTTGTTCTTTTGACAGGCAATTTTACATCTCTTTCAAACTTTTTACCTCGAATTTATCTAAGTCGAAAATTTCTCTAACTAGAGATACTGATAATCATAAACATAAATTATAATCAAAATAAAATTTATACACATCATCATTATCATCATCATCATAATAAGGTCGTTAGTTTTAAGTCTGATGGTTGGACACGCACCTCCACCCTTTCCTATCCTGAGCTAATCTTCGCATTTCCCTAAAACTAGAGGTCTCCCCCATCACTGTACCATAAAAAGTTCGTGGCGGTCTCACCCTCATAAAAAGTTATGGGGGTTCAAAGTTAATAAATATGCCAATTTTTATGCATTTCTAGGCATGTAAATATTTATATAGTCATTCTTAAACAATATTCAAAGGTAAAACTAATGAAAAATACATAAAAATATTCAGAAAGTTATGTAAAACATTATTTAAATAGCTTTATCAATAGGGTAGGTTAGGTTAAGTTAGGTTATCGGGTTTTGTTCAAGTGACCACCCTCTTTCGATCCCCCACCTCCACCCGCTTGAAAATAATTTTTTTATTGAATTTTATTTGAATTATAGTGTATGAAAATTGTCAAAATAATCAACTTTCAACCCC